AGAATTTTATGGTTCATGAAATATACTTTTCTTTTCATAAAAATGCAGTGACTTGCAAAAAAGAGCCCCCCGTTGACTAGGAAGAGGCATTATGGGGAGAAGAGGACCATTTACCCCTCAACCTATAGAAACTTAGAAAATAGTCACAAAATCTAAAAAAGTCATTAATTTTCAGGAAACATTTTGGTTTCCTGCTTAGTAAAAGAGAGCATTGAAAAATTGTTTTTGTTTTTTGTTTTTTTTACAAAAGTTAAGGCTGTCCAGATCTTTGATGCAGAAAGCCTGCGATCCCCAAAATTACATCTTATATTTTCAAGTTGAAAGCAAGGTTTCATGCAACGGTTCTGACTTTATGTTAGATTGGAGCAGAGAGGGGAAGCAGAGGCCTATTTAAGTCATATAAAAATTAAGGGAGGTGAGTGAGGCTGGTCTAAGGATCCCCAGGGAAGTTGCCTTTGGAAACTTTCAGGATGTAATCTTTATTTTATATTTTTCTACATTCAAATAATAAGCATTTTGGTTTTTGTTAAAATGGGAATTTTATCTTAGAGTTCGCAGAAGCTATGAAAATACAGACACATAATTGCATTGTGCTCCTCACAAAAGCCTGATTTTTCTTTGTCCCTAGAAAATGCAGGCCAGTTTTCCTGATAAGACCGGAAGAAGGCTATATAATGAAAGCCAACTAGCAGCGAGAATCAAAGATCTCATCTTGCTGGTTTCTTGGAGCTGTTTTGGGATATATACCATGACTCTGTTTACCTGCGGGTTGTACCGTCCAACAGGACAAAGGATATTTGCTGGTTCTACCCTAATCAGTGGAGTTCTATATACCTTGATACATAGTAAATTGAGGAGCTTCTAAAAGATTGCATATTTATGAAGTTTCAAAACTATCTGTGGTTTCCATAACTGAAGGTGCATGGTGTGGAAATACAACTTAAAACTGCTTGCCTTGGCATGGTTTTTACTGTAAACAAAGTTAACCCTTTGGGAGATGAGACTATTCCCACAAGGAATGGGCCCTTTGGTGAGCGGAACTCCACAGTGGGTCCAGTGACAAAGAGAGATGGCTGAGCATCTAGATATTTTGTCTGTGTTCACCTGTGTTTTAAATGGACAGGGCGAATGCTTTTTAAAAAGGAAGAGCTGGTTTAGTGGTTCGATTTTTGCCTCTGTCACCATATTCCCTCCCTCCTCTTTCGCTATCCATTGGTTCACTGGCATTAAATAAATGGTCATTTCAAGGGTGTTCCGTGGTCCCTTGAAATGAAATTCTGCAGGAAGCGAAGAGAAATGAGCTGTTTTCCTACTTGGCCTGAACATTTTGCTCCGGAGAGGATACTGTACCTTGATGTTTTTTCCCCTTTTATAAAAAACTTAACCCTAACCAAAACAAAACATTCTACTTGTATGTAGGAAAAAACATGTTTATGACCAGGAAGTAAAACGGAGTTGGTGGGAATTTAAAGCTATACATGTACATTAACAGTTCAAAAAGGAGTCGAATCTAATGAACTCTAGAATTTGAGTTTCCTGAAAGTCTTTGAATACTTTTAGGTTGCTCAGGAGGCTTAAGGATACCATGCTTTGGGTTTGGCCAGAAGGGAATTCCCTCGCTCCTCATCCTCTCTACACCCAGTATTAAGTGACATCACTGGACACTATCAAATCACTTTTAGAGGCAACAAATTTTGCTTATGGAAGGAATTAATAGAATTAAGGGCAAAAGTGGTACAAGGTAAAAAAAAAAAAAATTCCCCTTAGTTTGTCCTATTGCACATCAAAGAAAACAAAGGCAAGGATGTACAAGTCATCGAGATTTGTCAGGATATGTAAGGTTAAACTTTATCATTTTAACCATTAAAAGATCTTTAGTTCAATGCCACTGAAAATCTCTAACAAATGAAATATCCCTCCTTTCCCTCTTTCTCCTCTTTCCATTTAAATTGGAACTGGATATATAATTTTAGAAGACAATCCAACTAACCATTGGCTCAAAAAGACCATGGTCTTACAGCTTTGTTACTGGTTCTCTAATTAGGTTATGTAAGTCAATACCCTGTATTTTTGGAAGGTGTGATACCATATATAATAAAGTTTTTACAGAGAGAATAATGGCAAGGAAGGCAGAACGTTCTCCATCACGACATTGAGGATCTGTTCGTTATGTAGTTACTTGTTGCTGTAGGTGAGATTATAGGTCTCATCCTATAAAAGTACTGGCTGACCCTAAATCCTCTATTTTGATAGGAAAATGATGCAAAATAAGCAAATATATGCCATATTCAAACAAACCATTTACTATGGCCACATATCATTTTAATAAAGGTAACATGTCTTCCTTTAAACCATTAAATGATAAGCTTTAATAGTAAAACTATAAAGAGACCTCTAATTCATATAATTTGCTAATCCCTATAATGATAACTGATGAATGAAAGTGCAGATTATCATTGGTCTTCCAGATCTGCTGTGTAGGGTTGCAGTGAGAGGGGCAGATCATTTTCTTCATGAGGAACTAGCTCACTACGGAAGGACGGGTAGGTCATTTCTGGAACTTATCTGTCCTCAAAGACTGATTCTGTTTATCAAACAGCAAGCTCAAGGGTTCTACATTCTACCATTCCACTCACTAACTGTGCTTTTAAAAACTCCTATTGGATCATTGTAATCCCTAAGTGAGTAAAAAAAGATAAATTATGGTAAGCTTTTAGATTGTTTCTTTATTAAATAAATTATTAAAATAATAGATTGTCCAAACATTGAAACTGTTTTCATTTTCTACGTAAATAGGTTTATCTGGCACGTCATTCTCTTCGACATTTAAATGAAGCGTAAGTGACCATTGACTGAGGAGCGTGAAGCTGAGTGGGGAGATTTCTAGGAAGAAAAACCAGATGCTATTCCGAGATAAGACAGCAGCTTTACTCAACTGCAGCTGCTTTGGTGAACCTGAGATTATTTGGAGGGAATCCCCTCTACTATTCAAAAGCAAGCCATTGATGGAATCATCTTAGGAGGCAGAATTTAGCTCCTTTATTTGTTCCTTCTTAACTTTTTTTGCTTACCTATTGGTAATAAAGTGACTTACTTCGTGCTCATTGAAATATAATTTGAGAGAAATTAACTTTTAACAATAAAAATGTCATTTTTCCCCCCTTTCCATTTGGAATAAATATAAGTTCAAGCCAAGAAACTTATAATATTAACAGTTAGATTTAGCACTAAGAAAGCTATTTAGGACAAATTTAGTTGGTTCCATAAAGAAATTCTCTCAAGACTACCTTATTTTTTTCTTGTCTGCTTTCTACAGAGGCTAGACTTGATGGAGCATGACTTACTGTATAGTTTTTTAAAACTATGTTCTATAGAACATAGATATATCTTGTGAGTGGTTTGCAAGAGTGCTGTGAACATCTGGGCAAATAACTTCAAGTTAAGAGATCTCTGTTATTAGAACCAGTTAAAATGTTACATCTTTATTTTATTACTATATTATTTTTTTTTTACTCTATTGCTTCCCTTTGGTTTTACTACACATTGGTTGCTTGCTTTGGGAGAATGCTAAGAATTTATTTAAAGAATTGTTCATTGTGGTCTAGATTAAAAAAAAAAAACAAAAAAACTATTCTTTGATGTACTGAAATCTCCAGAAGTTTAAGAAACATGCCTTAAGAAGCTCAGCTATGTGCCACTCAGTTGGTACTTGTGGAATGAGTTTAAGTACTTAATGTGGAGAAGACAGGTCTTTCTTACACATTTTTTACATTTTCAAACTTATTTTGAAGGGTGGATAAACCTACATCGTGACGTTACGGGAAACATTCTCTTTCTCATGGAGACAGAAAGAAAAGAGTCCAGAAGTAAGGCTCTGTAATCAAGTGGGCAGGGAGATGAACAGGTAAATTCAGTTCCAGCACCGACCATCCACAATGAAGTGGAAACTTGGCAGCAACCACGGTAGGTCAGAAAGACTGTTCTAGAAATATGGTCACTGCAGAGATACTCCTCAAAATGATTCCTTCGTTGAAAATAGATTAACATGATCAGAAAATATCCGTGAAAAAGAAAACAATATAAAAATTTACATTTTTTTTTTCTGAGAGAATAGAAGCAAGGCTCATGGATATGCCTAAGTTTAGAGATTACTATGAATGCTCAAAACAATGTTTGCTTCATGTCCTTAGAAAATTAAAAATGGTGCTTCATATATAAAGGGTCCATCAGTTAAGCCACAGAAAGAGACGGCTGCTGATGGGCAGGTTACGGAATCAGTCCTACATTTCAGCTGTGACACGCACTGGGTTCCTTTTCTTTTACATCAGACTTCATTTCAGTTTTAACAGGAGGAAAGCCATAGGTGCACAACACTGTAATCTGGAAGCTTATGTAAGGCAGCAAAAAGCATCACCCTAGATTGAACAGACTAAGTAAGGTCCACTTTTGGCCACACTAACAACCAGCTGGAGCCAACAGCATTTTGCCACACACGATATAAAAGCAAAGATCCACAGCAAGGGAAGCAAGTGGGAAGCCAGCGACGTGGTGACATGTGACTACGTTATAGGAACACGCTACAACATGAAACCCCCAATGCCGTGGGTTCAATTCCAGTCAAGTGAATTAAGGCTACTATAGAACGGGCTGATGTGAAGAGTCCATTCCAACTGAGCAGTAAGAAACTGATTCACTCTTGAAGACACAAGGAAAGGTTTAGAGGAAAAGCAAGTTCTTGGAAAGATTGAAGCATACACATGCACGGTGTCTCTCAGGTGAGGAAACTGGAGAAAAATGAAAGGGGGAGAAAAATAAGAGAGACCCAAGCAATCCAACTGCGAGGCAAAGCAGGTGTTTGCTTCCAGTTCACAGTATTGCAGTTAGTGGTACAGTGAGGTCTACGGAAGTGGTAGAGAGCCCAAAGGCTGCCCAGAAGAAAAGGGAAGAAAGAAGTGGTCACATGACAACACAGCATTGACAGCGCTTTTTCTTTTGGGTACCTGGGGCTGGCTCTGTGGCCAGACTCTCTTCCTTTCCTTCTGGGGATGAGGGCTCTGTGGTGTCTGAGATCAGCCTCCCGGACACAAGCTCGGCCGCATTCCCATCGATGGTGGACACGTCTGTCACTGTCTTCTCCCTCAATGACTTCTCATCGTCTTCGTCAATGAGGACCAATTCCGCCTTGATGGTTTCATCATAGCCTAGCACCTTCTTTGTCTCCTCTTCATCCTCGATATTTTGGTAGCCCATGAAAATCATGGTGACTGGTTGATCCAAGTTGGCCTCGGGCCCTTCAGTGCTGGGGGCTTGGGGCTGCTGCCCTGGGGTCCCGGAAGAATGATCTTTCCTAGACTTATGTACCATTTCTAACTTGGCTTCTTTGCAGAGCATGTGTTCCTTCGGGTGGCCGAGGCTCCCGTCTGCGATCACAGTTCTTTCTGACACGTGCCCTCCTCTGAAGCTTGATTGTCCCGCCTTCTGAATAAGCGCTTCTACATCCTTTGAGCTTAACTTGTGCACTCCATTTTCTACCACAGTGCCTCCTGAGTGCACCTCATATACTACTTTGGTACCGTCATCATAGACTTTGACTCCTCTCTGATGGACCCCCTCTGGGCCAATGGTGGATGCAGAGAGAATCTTGGTCTCTCCTGTTTGTTTGTCTTTCTCCACATTAATTTCCATGGCGTACACAGCTTGAATGAAAACAAGAGAAAGGAAGTGCATGTTACAACAAAAAAAGCCAGTGAATGGTTAATTGCCAAACAGACAAAAAAAGGGTTTGTGCCCTTTCTAGTCTAACTGCCAAGCATCTTGAGTGTTAGAGTGAGTGCACAGTGTGGACAGAGGTGGTTATATATGTGTTTTAACACAGCAGCTTAATGCACTGGGAAACCAGATGTGCAGAGTTACCGTATCTCAATGGCACTTACACTTTTAAGGAAGATCTGCTAACGTAAGACCACAAGCGACTGTATAGATCCAGTGTAATGAATTCCAGGGAGGCTGGCAACATGCAAGTTTATTTTGATTGACAGCTTACCCTAGGCTTATAGACAATTTTAAAGGTCTTGGCTAAGAAGATTGTAATTCCAAAATCTTAAATCTTTTTTTTTTTTTAACTCTTTCACTAAGCGTTCTACTGTTTTTTTCTGCATTTCCTTTTACTGTGAATGGAGAATATGCAAAGGATTTTGCAGGTGGGGTGTGGCTATTCTCCACTGTACTGTAAACTAGGCTGTTTGCAGGAACTGAAGTTACAAAAGCAGTCAGGTTACATGCTCTGAGTACTTCGATCACTGAGCTGGGTTTCTGTAACAAGAACTAGAAAAAGAACAAGATGGAGGTAGTAGTGTCCCATGGCACTGGAATTTGAGGGTGATGATCACAGAAAGCCTCTTTCTTCAGCCATGCACACAGTGCCAAGTCCTCGTGACTCTGCCCCACATCGTCTTTCTCCTCGGTCACCTTCTCTCTCTTCCACTGCCACTACTCAATCTGAGACACTATTTCCGCTTCCCTAGATTATGGTAAGGGCTTCCTACCAGCTCTCCCCGTCCAGACTAACCCTCTCCAACTCATCCCAAATCCTGCCACCAACCTGGCTTCCTAAGGACCTGCTCTCCTCTCTTCTATAGTCTTGTGTGACACTCCATCCTCTCCAATCCATTACCTCCGAGGCTCCCTGCGAGGCACACATTCTGGACGCTAGGACACTGAGCATTGGTCCCAGGAAGCCAGCTGTCCCCAGGCACGCTTTCCCTGGATGATCCATGGATTACATCAACCTCCACAACTTCAACACTGAACTCAAAAGTGGTCACATGACAACACAGCATTGACAGCACTTTTTCTTTTGGGTACCTGGGGCTGGCTCTGTGGCCAGGCTCTCTTCCTTTCCTTCTGGGGATGAGGTCTCTAAAAACTCCCCCATAGTCTTCTTGGTTTTAAATAGTACCAGCACCACATAGTCTCTCAAGCGAGAAGCCTCAGAACCACACCTGATTTGTCTTTTCTTCCTAATTTCTTCCACAGCCAAACAACTATTGTGAGCTACTAATTCCATTTCAGACCTCTCCCCATGTACCTCCTCACCGTTGCCTCGAGCCAGGCCCCCTTCTGCTCTCCGCACAACAGCTCTGCCCCAGTCCCACCTGCCACTTCTCAGAGTGGGGGCAAAGGTAGCCCAAGGTTTGTTTTGAAAATATTATAAAAAGGAAATGGGAGGGAGTAGGGAAGGGAGGGAGGAAGGAAGGAAGGAAGGAAGGAAGGAAGGAAGGAAGGAAGGAAGGAAGAAAAGGCAATTTAAGAAAGAGAAAAGGAAAAAGAAAAAGAACAAGAACAGGTGACAGAGACCATATGTGGTCTACTCTGTCTAAAATACTTACAATCAGGCCATTTATAGAAAAGCCTACAGACCCTGCTAGCTTGTGCCCCATCCCGCCCATAGAACCTTCTTCGCAAACCCTCTGTGGGTTCCTGTGTCTGTATAGGAGAAACTCTAAACTTCTTAGCTTGGCATATAATTCTCTTGGGAATTTGTCTGCAACTTCCTTGCTAGGCTTGTCTCTCTGCCCCTCATTCCATGTATACTCCAACCATAGCAAACTTTGCACTATTCCCAGAACTCAGCATCCTTCCCTGCCTGGCTTGCCTTTCCCATGGGGGCATCTCTGGTTATCATCATTTTTGAGTCCCTACCTCTTTCTGAATACTACATGTTCCCCCAGTGTGTTAAGAAGATCCCAATGATCATTTCAACTGCTCCCCTTTTCTTTAGCACAATCAAATAACACCATCCCACACCTAAACATTTCTTGCTTTTAAGATTCCCTTCTCATGGACTGGCCGTCTTTTGAGAGTTTCTATCCATCCAAATATGACCTATCCATCAATGCCCAGTCAGCTGCCTCCCCACTTCCAGAAGGTTTCTTTGACCCTTCCATCTCTAAGTCTTCTCTCTCTTCTTAAGGCTCTCTGAACTTTTCTAAACCTCTCTGAAGGCACTTAACAATTTCCACTCAGAAGTATAATTATTTGTGGGAATGTTTTATTAGCTCCATCGATTTTTAGGATCCCTAAAGGCTAGTTTTTTGCCTGACATCTTTCTACCATTTCCCCACCCCACCAACACCTACCTTAGAGCCTTTTGCATACACGGTACCTGATATACAAATACCTGTGAAACAAATACTACTAATTGAAAATTCTACTTTGGTTGCCTTAATCTAGGCACAAAGACTTTGTATAACATGACACCAATGAAAAGGTACACACAGTAATTAATGTCTGAACTGGTTAGAAAAACAGCAATGATACTATTCCATCTGCTTGGGTAACAAGATACGCAGTCTGTTCACAGTTAACACTTAACTAAAAAGATGGTGAAGCCAGATCCAGTGCTTGATTTTCCTCATGTCCATTTTGAAAGTTTCACTTATTCAGCACAAAGATCTTGAGTTTCCTTCAGTGACATAGTGAGGCCAACCGATATTTGTCATGGAAGTACATGGGCTCACACAGGATGGTGATGTCAAGAGAAATATTTGTCTCGATTAGTTCCTGATTTCCCACCAAGCGTGTCACCAGAGAAACGGAGTAGGCATTTAAAATTGTGTGTGGACTCCAAAGCCTGCTCTTTAAATATTACGCTTACATTAAAAACACAGATTTGGGTTAAAATATTATGTCCTGTCACTATTAAAACACTCCTGGGACATATTTATAAATAAGGGTGATACTAATGATTGCCAGTTATAGGTACAATATCTAATTATCCCCCAAGCATCCAGTAATATGTGAACAAAATGACACATTGATTTGTAAACAATACAGAATATGGAACAAAACACTTCTATTTTTAGATCCATTGGTGATTGGGTACAAATTATTAACATGGGAATCTTTAGAGATGTTCTTCTTCTGCCCACCAATGAGAATGCTGTCATTGTTGCCCCAGTTTTCCTCTCTCCACCATCCTAACCCCCAACCCTCATTTTGTCTTTGCCTGTTTCCCGAATCAGAGACAAGACAGAAAGGAGGATGAGGAGGAGTTCTGTGCTAGAACAGCTGAGTAGATGCACACAAAAACGAGTTGAGAAACAAGGAGTTCAGTAGGAGAGAGCGTAAAAGCTGCGTGGGATATGGATGGAGAGAGAACATTTTTGTGGTGGTGGAGGGGATATGGGGAGTAAAGAAAAGGACATGTGAGAAGTGCTTCCGGGTGGGGATACGAATTGGAGTCCTTTTAATATCCTTCAGGAAAAATAGATAAAGAACAGAGTTCCTGGGCGCCTGGGTGGCTCAGTTGGTTAAGCGACTGCCTTCAGCTCAGGTCATGATCCCAGGGTCCTGGGATCGAGTCCCGCATCGGGCTCCCTGCTCTGCGGGGAGCCTGCTTCTCCCTCTCCCACTCCCCCTGTTTGTGTTCCCTCTCTCGCTGTGTCTCTCTCTGTCAAATAAATAAATAAAATCTTTAAAAAAAAAAAAAGAACAGAGTTCCTTTTTAGTGTTTTGTGTTATTTTGTGTGATTTTAAACCATATTTTGTTAAATGTGACATGGCTCTGGGATTGAACCACATGTGGCATGGTTTCATTAGGGTGACATATTTGTATTTATATTTACATGTTGTACACTGTTCTTTCAATATTTCTAGAATATGGAATAGAACATCATAGGACATTCTGCCAATAAAATAAGCCTAAATATATTATGCCATAAAATACAACATCCATCCATATTTTTTCCCCCAGATAAAATAAGGCTTCAAAGCAAAACAGATTTGTAACAGATTTCATCAGGGTCTGGCCTCACATGCTTTGTCTATATCCACTCTCCTCTCTAGGAAGGGATACTTAGGTGAACACTTTGAGAAGCTCTTACTTAACACAACGGCAATATTTAGACTTCATGGATAGACATATGAGAATGTTATCAGACATTCAGAAAGCCACACAGGAGGTGTGAATATTTATCTTAAATATGCAGTTTACGAATAAGCATTTTTATTTTGCTCCCGTTCTCAGCCAATAATATTTTAAATGTGAAGCAGGGTGGATATGAACCAGTAGGAAAATGAGACTAACATTTTAAATTCAACACTTTATTTTTGATGCATGCACACAATTAAAAAAAATCCTCCTGCTTTTTACTGCTGCCAAGTGGTATTTCCCAAAGGTCTTTCGCCTACGTCATGTTCTCGTGTCTAAGCACAAAAAATACTCCCTTCTCTTCCCTCAAGCTTCCCCTGGCCACATGGGATACACTACAATTTGCATAGTGAGGAGGGGCTGGTGCTCAGCTTACTGAAAAAGAGTGAGGAAGGGGTGCTGCTGAGAAGAGGGGGTTTTCTGGGGAGCCCTTGGAAGAGATTTTGAGAGAGCCCCATGAACATACAGGAAAGTATGTGAAGAAAAGCTCTCTGAAATTTCCTGCCTTGAGGAAGTTTCTGGAGTCAGAGAAGAAAGAAAGGAGACAGTCTGACGGAAGTCCCAATGACAGGATAACTGAAATCTGGAAGTTTTTACAAAACGATATATTTAATTACTGATTCCCCAACATGACATACTGATGACAATAAGGTTGGAAGGTATAAAGCATTTTTGCTATTCTTTCCAAGAACCTAGACAGGGGAGTAGATGTTCATGATGTCAATGAAGAATAAGAACCAAAGTGGTGAGTTTCTGCAATGAATA